GTTGCCCCCCTTGCCTCTGCTGTTTCTTTCCTCCCTGCTGGGATTTTACCAGCTGGATTCTCGCATTTCAGCAGAGCAGCAGGCAGGGCCCTTGGTCCAGCTCACAAAGGGTCCGAAACTTCCCAGGCAGCCTAGGGGCTTTAGGCACATGCCAGCTGACCAGCCAGATTCCCCCCCCGGCAGGGTGCCCTCCCCCCACGGGGAAGGGCTGGCTCCGGCATGTGGGATAAGCCCCGGCTCTGCCCTAGAGACACGTCCACCAGCCCAGAAGTTTGGTCCCACAGAGCTTTGGGGGGAGCCCGGCTCCTAAGGGGGAGGGGGGAGGGGCTCAGCCTCGTTACAGAGCAAGGGGCCGATGGCCTAGCGCAGCCGTGGGGCCTGGCAGCAGCACTTGCGGGAGGGGTGTAGGGAGTTGCCAGGCCAAGCCCAGGGGCCTGGTTTGAAGCGGGGCCCTTGTGCTGGCAGCCCCCCCAGCTTCGCCGGCGCCTGCCGCTGCTCCCTGGCCACAGGGGCCCTGCCTTGCCCAATGCTGGCACCTCGCTCGCCCTGCACACCCGGGGGCTCCCCTCAGCTGCTGAGCCCCCCTCACCGCTCTGCTCAGGCGCTTGGCTCCGGGGTCACAGGCTGGAGCCAAAACATTCCAAACTGGGACCAGCCTGGGAGCTTCTCCCGCAGCCCGGCCTGGGGGCTGTGCTGGACCTGGGGGGGTGGGGGGCACATACACAGCAGGGCTTGGACATGCTACTCACCGAGGGGCTCCTTACAGGAGCCCAGCTGCAACCCGAGCAGTGAAACGCTCCCACTAGCCCTGCACAAGGGGGGGCAGGGCCCAGTGTCACCACAGTCCTTACTCCACTTCCTTTCCCAGCCCCTCCTGGCCGGGGGCATCTGTCCCGGGGGCCCAGGGGGATGGACGAGGCTGGGCAGGTCGCGGGCCTGGCTGCTGTTCTGCCCAGGGCAGCTGGCATGAGTAGAAGGGGCAAAGGGAACCCACACGTCTGCCCCTGGCTCCCCAGACCCTGGGACGGCCCATCTCTCCCAGAGGGGAGGGAATTCACCCCTCTGCACCCCCCCAAAAAACCCAGCCCCAAGTCACCCCTGGCCCCCAGCAGGAGGCACTAGCAGCCCTGCCTTGTCACCCCCCCAGAAACGAGATGCTAGAGGCTGGGAGCAGCGTGTTCCACCCTTTGGTTTAATTGGCATCAGCGGCACAGCAGGGTCAGAGGTCACCAGGCATTGCCGGCAGGGCTGGTTCCCCCCCGCTAGAAAGCCCCGCCCCCCGG